CCCCAAAACCCCCAAAACCCCAAAACCCCAAAACCCCAAAACCCCAAAACCCCAATGTAATGAGAATATTTAATAAGATTAATTAATATGATCTCGAGAAGGTGGGTTTTCCTTCCAGACTAACAAATTTAGATCTCTCACTATCACTCTTCTCTTCATGACAGTCCTAGTTGTTGCTGTTAACGAAGATTGCCGCGAAGATGAAGGTATATGCGACAACAGGTACCACTGAACAAAAGATACTTACCTCTGTAAAAGAGATGGTCTCTTCCCTCTCGTTCTCTTGGACTACTTCGGAATAGTCATCATGGCCGTACTAATGTCCCTCTCAATCGCAGCTGGGCTTGGAGGTGGAGAAATCGTCGTACCGATCATTAAGATCTGATTCGGATTTTCCCAAACTGAAGCAGCTCCAATTTCGCAGTGTTGAATAATGTTGGCAGGGATCACAAGGTTCATTATCAATTACAAGAAGAAGCATCCTCACAAAGATGCGGTCCCTATAGACTACAATGCAGCCATGGTGTTGATGCCAGCCATCTTCTTTGGAGCCAGTATCGGGCAGATGCTCCATGAAATACTTCCTAATCTGTTCCAAGAGGTTATGCTCCTCGTCGTTTTAGGATACTGAGTGCTTGAGAGTTGCAAGAAAGGCATGAAACTCTGGAAACAGGAATCCAAAGAAAAGCGTGGCGAAGTGTAAGTGCCCCACCTCATCCCTATAGCGAAGAGGCTGATAAAACTTCAATTCTTTCCAAAGAAGGTAATTTTTTTCAGTTTAGGGTTTTAATAAGTTTCTGTAGACCCGTCAGCTCAGGCTCTGCTTCAGAAGGACAAGATCAATGGTACTAATTCTTTGGATTCTTCAAATATCACAGGTATGAAAATGGATGTCTCACGTGAAGATTCTTCTCCAGAAAGAGGCTCCTCCAATAGCAACGGAGTGAGGCGTTCCTTCATCCAAAGAGTAAGTATATCTACTATTGCATACACTGTGTGAGTACCTTGAGATTCATTGATGGCATAATCTAATTATATTTAGTTTGAAAACAACGAGAAAAGTCATTGGCAATTCGGTAAACTCATCCCAATCTGGCTTGTCCTAGCTGCCCTGATCGGCCAGGCTATACTCAAGGATAGTGGACTGATCAGCATCGAAGAATGCAGCTTGGCCTATTGGGCCATTTATGTTGCATATGTACTGTGCTGTGCTATAGCCCTGGTTTTCTCATACATCAAGATCAAGAAAGATGTGGCTCTCAGACAGGCAATCTACGGCGATAACCTTCCCAAAGGAGAAGTAAAATTTGACAACAAGAAGATCATCTCCGTTGTAGGTGTCTCAGTACTTGCCGGATGTGTTGCATCAGTTATTGGAGTTGGGGGTGGGGTAATCTACCTCCCAATGCTGCTGATCATTGGCTACCCTCCCTTCGTAGCCTCATCAACCTCGATCTTCATGGTGATGTACGCAGCTGCAGCCAATTTCATATCTTACACAATTGGGGGCCAAACAAATATTCCCTATGCGTTCTGGTTGGGCCTCTGGACATGAATCGGAGTTGTAATAGGAGTCACAGCAGCGAACAAGATCGTACAGAAAACAGGAAGGCAATCTATCTTCATCATCCTGCTTGGAGTCGTCATGACCATCTGATTTGTACTCACAGTTGTATTCGCAACTCTAAGCACCATTGATGAAGTTCATGATGGAGAAGGGGTCTTCAAATTCGGAAACCTTTGTGATTAGTATATTCATAAAGCTCAATAGATTTATTATCAACTACAACAAGCGGGAGAGCATCAAATATAATAGAAAATGCGCAACCTGAGCTCATCTGTGTTGATCCTCAAAATCTAAACCAGAAGAAAATGCATCAACCTGAAGGTTGCATATGTATTCAAACAGGGAAAGAGTGCCTATTAGGTACAACATCTGAATGATATTGCTCCCAGCAATATTTTTAGGGCTGACTTTAGGCCATTCGCTTCACCAGATCCTCCCAGAAGTCATCCAAGAAGTGATGCTCCTGATGGTACTTGCCTTCTGCATGTACGAGAGCATCCACAAAGGAATGGAGAATTGGAGGAAAGAGACTGAGCATCAGAAGTAAGTCCAATCGTGTCATTCTCTAGAGAGGCTCACCTGCCTATTCTGCCTGTGAAAGGTAAGTCTTCACCGAAATATGTTCTTTTTTATCTTGATTGCTTCGAAATTTATTCGAAATAGAATTCTCAGACGATCCAAAATTCAATGTAAACAAAGACACTAACAGAGAAGACCTATTCACAGCAGGAGAGATCATCGGAGAGGCGACACTTCAGAACTATGAAGAGAGTACGAAGGACCATAACCACGAACAGGCCGTTCAAGAGGTAAGCTAAGTTGTATCTCCCTCGAATCGAACTTTCTGATCTGGGTGAATATCCTAACTGTGAATATCTCCAATTATCTCAAATATTTCTTCCTGATCATGAATAGGCTAACAATCGTATAGTTCCTCGAATCAGAGAAGAGCCATTGGCAGTTCAGCAAGCTGTTCCCCATCTGGATTATTTTCTCAGCCCTAGTAGTGCAGTCATTCTTAAAAGATAGTGGGATGGTTACTATCCAAGCCTGCAGCTTTGGATATTGGACAGTTTATATCAAGAAAGTCCCAAATTTGATATAAATTTAGTTCAAATTACACTTCATGAAAGACAGAATTAGTCCAAAGTCGGGTTTCAAGGCCTGCTTTACCTTGGCTAGGTAGGGTCAGCTATGTCCAGAACTCTATCTGAGCCTCATATTACCCCCTTCATTGCTTATTTCGCAGCAGAAAACTCTATATAGGATACGGAATGTGTTGAATAGCTGCACTAATCTACTCATGCTTGGAGTTCAAGAAAGATATCTCAAAGAAGCAGGAGTTATTTGGCAGTCAACTGCATGACAGTACTAGCAGGCATTCCCAGCCCTCAAGGCTCACAGAGATATACACAAATACAGAAATACTGGCTATCACATGTATGTCCATAGGAGTTGGGGCTATATCAGCAGTAATCGGGATCGGAGGAGGACTCCTATTCATTCCGATTCTGCTTCGACTAGGTTATCCCCCATTCGTCGCCTCTTCAACGTCAATGTTCATGGTGATGTATGCAGCAGCTGGTAATTCAATCTCCTACTTCATATCTGGAGAGCTCAACGTAAAATATGCATTGTGGCTTGGACTCTGGACCTGCATAGGTGTCATATTAGGAGTCACAGTTTCCAACAAGGTTGTCCAAAGGACGGGGAGGCCATCCATTTTAATAATCATTCTAGCTTTTGTCTTAGTATTATGAATCATATTCACGATTATGTTTGGAATCAAAGAAATCACAGAGACGCTTAATGATGGTGAAGACATATTTGAGCTAGGCCACATGTGAGGATAAGAGAGGTGGAGGTGAGAGTTTAATTGGCTGGTCAGAATTTGGGTACTATTTAATAGTTTTCAAAAAATTAGAGAAAATGAGGGGTTTTGGGGTTTTGGGGTTTTGGGGTTTTGGGG